AATATATGTGAATTTCCGCTAAACAGGATGTGCACTATAACACCATATGTGAAAAAGAAAACAATCACAGGATGTTTATTTAAGAAAATCAAAATGTAATTTTACCCTCCTGACTTTCCTTTATATACATGTACGCCCATTTTGTTTTGGATTTTTATGCGGTCGTTTATTCCTAGGTTGTATGTTTATATTATGCAACGAGTATGAAGAAAATGCCACTAAACAGATTTTACCACCAAACAATGTTTAACAGACAAACAAACCCTTATTTAAACAATTATTGTGATTTGGCTCAAAATATGTGCTGAAGAGATCAATAGGTGACATTGAAAAACATCAAACTACAAATCACTACTATATTTATATCAAATAGCCAATTTTAACAAACAATCAAGGTTTGACAGCATTGGCTGAAAGTCCATTAGTATAATTAATGCGTTTGATAACTAAATATTACTATATCAATAGGCCAACTTTCTGATGCTTAAGCACTTGAAATACTAAAAATAAAAAAGTATATAAAAATGTTGATGCAGAGCTTAAGTACTTACTCATACAATAATTTTACTCTGAGGACAGGTAACTTCAGGATAAGCCAAACTGTAACATAATAAACAGCTGACAAAGAAAGTGACAAAATCTTGGTAAAACCATCGTATCTTTTAATGTTTTCCATAAAATTATTTAAATTCATATCGATAAACATCAGTTCAAGATTCCACAATTTTCACAAGTATTCTCTTATTAATTGTCATTCACTGAAACACAAGTAAACCTGTCCTCAAAAGAAATATAATTTGAGTGTCAAGTAATCAACATGAAATAAAAAGAATATTGATATGAATATGATAAATGAAGAATCATGAACTTATATATATTTATAATTTTGATAGCAAACTGTTATTGTTACATAATCAATTGAGTGTTTATAATGAACACATCAACATATTGATTAGTTTATTAACATTGAAATAGAAGTAATGTGTAATAGAAGTGGATATTCTGTGTCTGTTTTTGTATGGCATTCACTTATTATTTTACTAAATAAAGGTACTTTTCGGCCACAACGATCTGAACCAAATACTAAATATTGTACATTATAGGCATGGAATAATTAGAAACAAGTGATACTTCTTCAAACCTCATTTATAATTCTACAGTGGCATAAGTGATCCTTACATGTACGTTTAAAATAAACCATAGGTGTTCGGCACGTTGATTGGTCAGAACCCTGGGACCCCCTCACCAACTCTACAACCCTCCTACCTCTAAAAACCATGTAAAATGCAGTATTTTTCATTTGAAACTTGTTTTAATATTTGGTATATGCTTTTAATTCAATTTACTTCATTTCCCACAAAAAAAAAAAAAAAATGATACATATAGTAAAGGTATGCAACTTATCTTAATATGAACTCCATAACTCCAACATTTTTTCACCAATTTTCAAAATCTTGGTACCAAAAGATTACTCTTAAAAGAAATAAATATACTAAATATATATGAATCAATTTTTTTTTTTTGTGGGAAATGAAGGAAATTGAATTAAAAGCATATACCAAAATATTAAAAGATGTTTCAAATGAAAATTTGAGGTTTTTAGAGGTAGGAGGGTTGTAGAGTGGGTAGGGGGGGGGGGGGTGGCTGAGGTAATGACCAATCAACCCTTCAAACACCTATGATTGTTTTGTTGTAAGATTTCATAAAAACTCATACTATGAGTCTGTTTAGTAACATTTTCTTCATAGCAGGGCATGTTTTGGTCACACCAGATTCCATGACTGAAAGAATATTTTTCGATGAAGACTGCATAAAAATCGAAACAAAAATTGGTATATATAGAGGAAAGTCTTGAGGGTAGAAGTACATTTGCATTTTCTTAAAAAAAAGCTTTGAATTTTACGAAGTTGAAAACTTACCCTGAGACCGACATATTTTCTCTTTCACATATGGTACATAGCCACCTGTACAAGTAATTCATAAACCCCACAATCTTCTGAAATAGACTTGTATGTTTATTACCTCTATATTAATAAAAAAAATATACTACACATAGGGAATGAGCCTATTTCTGGTTAAGACCAGGATATATAGCCCATTCACCAGTTTTATGATGTATACCAGGTATACAACCGCATGTCAGTGGCACATAATAGACACAGTCTTAATGACTGATACAGGTGAACCTACATAGCAAATATAACAACAATTACATCATACATGTATGATGCAAAACATTACCAAAACTTTTATGAAGATCTTACCTTTCACCAAATTAACAGAGCAAGGACTGGTTGTTTTATCCATGCCGTACGGCGTCCACGCTGACCCCAACAGTGTATTCTTCCTGGTTACTTCCTCACAACAGGTATAGTAACTGTCGCCACATCTGGTCTTCTGTCACGTGTGGAAACGCCAACAAAATAACATCTCATGAGTCACGAATCAATACTGTTTAGGAACGTGTGGCGAATATAGTCAATAATTCATGGTTTCCAATATTCTCATGGAATGTCACGGAGAATAGCGATACTCGCTGATACTGAATGTTGACACTTTAAGCACGTGCATTACAATACAATATGCTATCACTAACACAAAAGAATAAATGCCGTGCCAATACAACGATCCCGTTATGTGTCATAATAGTGGTAAACCATTAGCAATGGACGGCGATAATGAACAGAAATACAGAAATGTGGAATGCTGGTTCTATGGGGTGTGGACGCTAACTCGGGCTCAATCAAACCAAGACTGCAACATTTTCGATTTTGCTATTTTGAGAGTTCTGTTTAAGATTTTTTACAAAGAAGAAAAATACTGCCGTTGGCTTGTAGGCAGAGACTTCCGATGATGACGGAGGTGGCTTACAGTCTGTCACTCTTTACTCTTAGCGTTAAACTATCACGTGTAATATTCTTTTATTTCTGTATTTCATCGGAAAAAAATATTGAGACAACGGCGAAAGTGCACTGTACATAGAGCAATAAACACGAGAAAATTATTACTTATGTTAATGCATGTAAACCAGATAGACACAGGCCTGGGTTGTTATTTATATTTTTGCATTTAATTCATGGACTTCGTTTGATTTTAAATAACGTTAATTCTGCGTCAATAAAAAGCTTTTGCTTGGGAAAATATTACAAATTTATGATAGTTTAAAAAGACTTAATGCTAGGGTAATATATACATAACTAAGAATATGATAAAAGAAACGATGTAGGCCACCGAGTTATCTCTATTAGTTTTGACAATGTTGCTTGCAAAAAGATCACAGTCAATGTTAGCAAGGCCCTATTTTTCTGGGTTAACTGATTTTCTTTCGATTTTTTGCAAACTTTAAAAATTGGTAAAGCATGGTTTGTTTATCTTTATCCCCTTTACCCAAACCTATGCAAATTTACTTGAAAAAGGTCTAGTCTTAAATAATTTTCAGTGTAACACATATTTTAATGGTTTTGTTTTGTAACCATGGATAAAACTGAAACAAATACTTGTTAACATAAGGTTTGTTATGCATATATATACATGTAAGTTATCTGTCCGTGAAATGACCTGGAAAAAAATGAAAACAACAAACAAAAAAAACACACAAAAAACAAGAGCACGTAACTCGAAAATGGGCTCGGTGACCCCATTCAAAAGTTTTAACTACAAATATTATTATCATATTCAAAGCTAATGTAAAGTTTTCAATATGCCTTATGTCCATATATAACCCTAGCATATTAAGTCTTTCAGGGTTTCTGTCACTGACACATCAGTTTTATATTTACATATTTATAAAAAAAATAAGCTAGCAGCCAACACTTGAAGTGGTTTTAAAGAGGACAAAGACAGAAATGCCAATGATAATTATTATTTAAATATTTGTCTTGCTTCTTTAAAAAGGGTTATAAAATAATAACCATGTCACTAATAACAAGAACATCATTTAAACTGTTCATTTGTACATGTAGCTGTTGTTGTTTGTTTAGTGTTTACTTCCTGATCTACTTTAATTCATACTATATTTGTTTGTTTCTCTTGATACATTGTGGAGAATATGTTTACTTTTCCAATATTATGTTGTTTTTTTTTATATTTTTTGATTCATTATCATGATATCATGTGTGTTTAGAATTAGTGTTATATTAAAGGCCCATTATGCCTCTGAAATGCTATCATTTTATATTAAAAAAAACCTGTTTATTTTTGGTATCCTGTTAACATACTCATTTGCTAGATACTCAAACTATCTTAGATACATCTTAAGTACTGTTTGCAATTGGTATACCTTTAGTGAATAAGTATTTTGTATGGAAGTCAAAATACTACTTTGTTTACATTTCTCTACCTTAACGACACATCACTTAATGTTCAGCGCTACCTTTTTCAGTTGTAATAAAATACTATCATAAGTTTTATCCATTGCTAAACATTATCAAACACATGTTTGTCATTTCTAAAGAATTAAAACAATATGGATTTCTGAGGCACAATGTGCCTTTAATAAAAAAATATTATATATAGTATGTTTTTGTCATATTATTATTATTATTATTATTATTTATGTGAATTTTTGTATCACATGTGTAGATCCATATTCTATATATATTGTTTTGTACATGGCTGTATTAATGTAGCAATGTTTTAATTGAAACATTCTGTTTTTATTTGACAAAGTATTATTATTCCGTTTAGAACGTTGCGTAATTTGTTATTTTATAAGCGTCAATTTTTTTCTAAAGAAGAGAATATGTCGAAAGCTAAAGAAAATCGGTTTTTTTATTGAACTGATTATATGTTTATTATATCTATAGGATCATTTTATTTTGATTAATAAAGTAACTACATGTATATGTACATGTTTTGTTCACGACTTTAATTATAGATTAAAGCTTATTAGTACCTATTTGAAAAATTATATTGGTCAGGCGCGGTTTTGTTCTGAGTCCCGCCGTCAAAAACCATGTATAATGATCATGCGTGAGTGTAATGTTTTATTTTCAGATCGAAGTATGGAGTAACAACAGTCTATTTAAATATACAGATAACGGCATAAGTTCAGGATCGTACGATGAAGATAAAATATCACCTTATATACCATAACCATCTATATCATTACCAGAAACTGTACAAAATATTAACTATGGATAAATGGATATTTAGAATTTTGCTTTATATAGTCACAAGTTTATTTCGTGAGTAGTCATTACAAATGTTTTCATTAATTTGCAGCACTGACCAAACAAGTTTGTTGTAAACAAAAAAATCAAATAATACTTTCCAGTCTTAAACAATCTTAATATTTCAATCAAAATTCCAACACAAAACATGTTTTGTTTTGAACTCTACAAAATTTAAAGGTTTATTTGGGTCTTGTAGTCTACAAGGATTGTTTGTGTTGTATTCTACAAGGATTGTTTGTCCTGTATTTGTTTGTGTTGTATTCTACAAGGATTGTTTGTCCTGTATTTGTTTGTCTTGTATTCTACAAGGATTGTTTGTCCTGTATTTGTTTGTCTTGTATTCTACAAGGATTGTTTGTTCTGTATTTGTTTGTCTTGTATTCTACAAGGATTGTTTGTCCTGTATTTGTTTGTCTTGTATTCTACAAGGAGTGTTTGTCCTGTATTTGTTTGTCTTGTATTCTACAAGGATTGTTTGTCTTGTATTTGTTTGTCTTGTATTCTACAAGGATTGTTTGTCTTGTATTTGTTTGTCTTGTATTCTACAAGGATTGTTTGTCCTGTATTTGTTTGTCTTATATATTCTACAAGGATTGTTTGTCTTGTATTTGTTTGTCTTGTATTCTACAAGGATTGTTTGTCCTGTATTTGTTTGTCTTGTATTCTACAAGGATTGTTTGTCCTGTATTTGTTTGTCTTATATATTCTACAAGGATTGTTTGTCTTGTATTTGTTTGTCTTGTATTCTACAAGGATTGTTTGTCCTGTATTTGTTTGTCTTATATTCTACAAGGATTGTTTGTCCTGTATTTGTTTGTCTTGTATTCTACAAGGATTGTTTGTCCTGTATTTGTTTGTCTTGTATTCTACAAGGGTTGTTCGTCCTGTTTGTGTTTGTCTTGTATTCTACAAGGATTGTTTGTCGTGTATTTGTTTGTCTTGTATTCTACAAGGATTGTTTGTCGTGTATTTGTTTGTCTTGTATTCTACAAGGATTGTTTGTCTTGTATTTGTTTGTCCTGTATTCTACAAGGATTGTTTGTCGTGTATTTGTTTGTCTTGTATTCTACAAGGATTGTTTGTCGTGTATTTGTTTGTCTTGTATTCTACAAGGCTGGTTTGTCGTGTATTTGTTTGTCTTGTATTCTACAAGGATTGTTTGTCGTGTATTTGTTTGTCTTGTATTCTACAAGGATTGTTTGTCGTGTATTTGTTTGTCTTGTATTCTACAGGGACTGTTTGTCCTGTATTTGTTTGTCTTGTATTCTACAAGGATTGTTTGTCCTGTATTTGTTTGTCTTGTATTCTACAAGGATTGTTTGTCCTGTATTTGTTTGTCTTGTATTCTACAAGGATTGTTTGTCGTGTATTTGTTTGTCTTGTATTCTACAAGGATTGTTTGTCCTGTATTTGTTTGTCTTGTATTCTACAAGGATTGTTTGTCGTGTATTTGTTTGTCTTGTATTCTACAAGGATTGTTTGTCGTGTATTTGTTTGTCCTGTATTCTACAAGGACTGTTTGTCGTGTATTTGTTTGTCCTGTATTCTACAAGGACTGTTTGTCGTGTATTTGTTTGTCTTGTATTCTACAAGGACTGTTTGTCGTGTATTTGTTTGTCTTGTATTTTACAAGGATTGTTTGTCGTGCATTTTTTTGTCTTGTATTCTACAAGAATTGTTTGTCGTGCATTTGTTTGTCTTGTATTCTACAAGGATTGTTTGTCGTGTATTTGTTTGTCTTGTATTCTACAAGGATTGTTTGTCGTGTATTTGTTTGTCTTGTAATCTACAAGGATTGTTTGTCGTGTATTTGTTTGTCTTGTATTCTACAAGGACTGTTTGTCGTGTATTTGTTTGTCTTGTATTCTACAAGGACTGTTTGTCGTGTATTTGTTTGTCCTGTATTCTACAAGGACTGTTTGTCGTGTATTTGTTTGTCCTGTATTCTACAAGGACTGTTTGTCGTGTATTTGTTTGTCCTGTATTCTACAAGGACTGTTTGTCGTGTATTTGTTTGTCTTGTATTCTACAAGGATTGTTTGTCGTGTATTTGTTTGTCTTGTATTCTACAAGGATTGTTTTGTCGTGTATTTGTTTGTCTTGTATTCTACAAGAATTGTTTGTCGTGTATTTGTTTGTCTTGTATTCTACAAGGATTGTTTGTCGTGTATTTGTTTGTCTTGTATTCTACAAGGATTGTTTGTCGTGTATTTGTTTGTCTTGTATTCTACAAGGATTGTTTGTCTTGTATTTGTTTGTCTTGTATTCTACAAGGACTGTTTGTCGTGTATTTGTTTGTCTTGTATTCTACAAGGATTGTTTGTCGTGTATTTGTTTGTCTTGTATTCTACAAGGATTGTTTGTCTTGTATTTGTTTGTCTTGTATTCTACAAGGATTGTTTGTCGTGTATTTGTTTGTCTTGTAATCTACAAGGATTGTTTGTCGTGTATTTGTTTGTCTTGTATTCTACAAGGATTGTTTGTCTTGTATTTGTTTGTCTTGTATTCTACAAGGATTGTTTGTCCTGTATTTGTTTGTCTTGTATTCTACAAGGATTGTTTGTCATGTATTTGTTTGTGTTGTATTCTACAAGGATTGTTTGTCGTGTATTTGTTTGTCTTGTATTCTACAAGGATTGTGTCGTGTATTTGTTTGTCTTGTATTCTGCAAGGATTGTTTGTCCTGTATTTGTTTGTCTTGTATTCTACAAGGATTGTTTATCCTGTATTTGTTTGTCTTGTATTCTACAATGATAAAGTTCTTATTCTCTTTATCCAAAATAAAACTGCACAATTAAAAAAATTAAAGATTATGGAACTTGTGATTTAATATTGACTATGGATAAATGTAAATGGATATTGATAAAATATCTAAATTGACATAATTTATCAAAAAGTGATCAACTGAGATCCCCAAAGCAAGTTAGCAAGTACAGAAATTATGGAAATTATCATGTTAAATAGTTTATAATGCATGTACATTAATATTTTAGGGACATCCAGTGGATTTATCGTCGGTATAGATTCTACAAGCAGTAAATATCGTTGTCCAGATTCTGTTGCTCACGGTAAATACTTACATACCTTCCAGGAAAAATGTTACGAGTTTGTCATATACGAAGGAAAGTACTGGAAAGATGCAAGGCAAGTATTTCTAATTAAAACCCGACCTCTTGTTAAATTAATCTCTTTGTGTAGTCTAAAAATAAAAAAAACTCTGGTCATTATGTTATTATACTCTGATGATTTTGTGAGAAAGATTTTAAAGAAATAAAAGAATGAAGAAAAAGCAAAATATAAAATTGCACTTGTTTTTATTTTTGGGGGGTGGGGTGGGAAGGGTAGTTGTCCATTGTCAATCACATGTACCTTTAGGACGTTTTCGGGAGTTTTCATATCAACATTTAGGCAGAATAAATACTGCTTAATAGAATTTCTTTTAAACTTGGCATATTGTTAGAATATGAAACAGACTGGCTTAGAAAGTTTTTGGACCTGACAGGGCAGGCACACATACATTTTGTATTGAGTCTTCAGTCTGATTTACAGAAATGACTGTACGAGAAAGGGAGGGGATCTTGTTGTAGTGGACGATGCTGCTATACAAACATTCCTGGTCAATACCCTGAAATCATTGGGCAGCACTAAGGACGGGCTTTGGATGGGACTGACAGATATACGCCACGAATTACACTGGGAATGGGTCAATGGTAAGTTAAAGCATTTAAGAAAATAAAATTTAATGTCTATGACCCACTGTCATTCCTGATTAAAATACAATGTATCTGTTAATCTGTTGTTGTTTGTTGTTGTTTTACCTTTGTCTGATTAACTGCCTTACAACAACTTAATATTCTAAAAAAAAAGATAATTGAGTATCTTACGAAAATAATATTGAAAGTATAACGGCAGATGAAGAGAACAACAAACTGGTTATTAATATATCATTCGTCATAATAAAAAATCATGAAATTTTATCAAATCAGAAATCAAATATATCCTGTACAAACCTTAACTTGACTGGAATCATTCAATGAAAGTACTGGTTGGATAGACATAGATAAATAAACCCGTCACTTGTTAAATATTTTTGATATTACTTTGTTTTTCAACAAACACGCACGTGGCCACCTATAGCGAGTAGGACAGGGTGTGACGTGAAATCAGTATAAATTACAAATAAATTATAAATAAAAATAAAAGAATTGTATTCTACAAAATAAATAAAGTATTTTAGAATGCATATCATCAGCAATATTTGTACCAAGTTTATACATCCATGTGTTCACAAAACTCTTGATTATCTAAATATTAAGAAAGCTATGATATTCTTTTAAAATTATCAAATAGTGAAGTGTAAAGACGGTAATTCAGTAATCATAGATTATTCATTAATCATTATTGAGATAGACATTGTTCATATTTCAGGAGAACCATTGCAAGGATATAACAATTGGGCGCACCTTCAAGGGGGTGCTAACTTTTTACACCTTACACAGGACTGTGCTCAAATTCGAATGGACGATAATGGACTTTGGCATGATAGAGAATGTCATCTTTGGCCAAATAAGTTCTCTTACATTTGTGAATATGGTAAGGATCAATTTCATTAACAATAATAGGTTAAAGGCTTTATATATTGGTAGTGAGGTACTTGACATTAATGATTTAATGAATTTTGTTTCCTGTTTTAGAGATGTCTACACCTTTAACACAAAAGACGTCGACACTTTCAACTCCACTATCAACAACAGTGTTCGGATATGAAACAACTACCTCCTCCACCAAATTATCTACGTCGGCGTCTGTATCGTTTTCCTCAAAATTACCTACCACATGGCATAGATCAACTTCCTCAAAATTACCTAACTCGGCGTTAATATCGACTTCATCAATATATTTTACCGAGAGAGCTTCGTTACATACATCGACGAGCATATTGATGACAAAAATTAGTACTGGTATCAACGCCTCCGGCAAAACGATTAAATCACAGGAAATCATGAACACTACTTCCGACGCTGAGAAAACATTTGAACATTTGACTGAACCAACAACGAATACGAACAAAGGTGCCTTACACCATCCCTCCAGTCCAATATCGGGCTCTTCACAAGTATCTACCACTATAATTACACAGAAGCCAATAATTTGTTCGGAGTTAAACTGTGTTGTGTCGTGTCCTAATGGTTATTCCGGTGTATATGTTGGACTTGACGGCTGTATCAACTGTAGATGTAACTAAATTATTATTCTCATAATACAATGTACTTTTCTTTATGGACAGACTCAATAAAATCGTGCAATCGTCCAGATTTTTTTTGGTGTTTGACTTGAGTGTATTTAACGATGTAAAGATTGCATGGGGTCATGCTTTATAATCATTGTCTGTTTTATAATTTTCAAACCCTGTAGTGACTTCGATTGTTGAGAAAATGTCTAGGACTCAGCCGAAACACTTTATAATATATATTCAGTGTATGTATATTCAGTCACGAACCTAATGGTGTTAACCTTACATACAAACCCTTATTTGATTATTTCTTTGGACAAGGCGCAGGACGTGAAGTACTTGCATACGTGGTTCAAGCGAGCAAAATGCAACTACCGAGTCATAAATATTAATAAGGCCCGCACGTATTTTCTCCATGTACGATGGTTTGAATGTTATTTTTGAAATTTTTAAATGTGCTCATTCCCTATGGCAATGTCTATAACACACTCGGGTCTAAGTTTCAGGTGACTAACTTCTGATTTGACGAAGATTTGACAAGTGACTTTTCTGGTCGGGTTTTCTACTTTAAGTTTTGAAGTTCATCAAACAAGACTGTATTATACAATTATTGACTAGTGAGCCATTGAATATGGCTATCGCCTCGGTCAATATGTCATCTGCCGGTGAATATCACATCATATTCAATGGCTCACTAATCAATAATAGTTTTATTATATGAATAGGTTAAGAATTTAAAAAAGCACATAAAAATACAACCTTATATACATGTACAAATTTTGCCTCGTTGAAGCGCGGGAAAAAGAAGCACGTGTTAGGCATACATAATTAGTTCAAGTTTATACTCATCATTGTGCTGTAGCCTTTAAGTATAATAGTAAAGTAATGATATTTTAATCGAGAAATATGCCCAAAAGAAAACCGCAACACTAATTTTTTAATTAACACGCGTAATTAACAGTTTACGGTGGTCATTAAATACGAGTCTCAATCTATTTTTAGACTGGGAAAATCCAATTCAGCCAGTGAATATGATTTTATAAAAAGTTGTGTTGACTACTGTTTGGACCAATGAGATTGCAGCTATATTTAGATCATATAATAAAACTGTTTAAATTTGCATGCCTCAAATAAAGTTAAAATATACAGAAATATATTGTTCGTTATAAAGTTATAGCCCGTTTCAAAAGTATAATCAGACAACTTGTCGGTGATTTTAAAATAAATAGAACGCTATGATATTATTATTATTATTATAGTGAACTGCACATGATTTGTATTTTGGTCTGATTGATATTAATTAGAAATTTAATATCAGTAGCATTTATGCCTACGATTTTATCTCTTAGAGCTTTACTAAGCTATTGTCAATCAGTATATATAAAATTATAAAGATAAATCTTCTTCCGGTTCCTCTGCTTGGACTCCTGTTTATAACCATATTTATGTTTAGTTTTGCCTTAGAAGGGATTATTTTTGGTATGCCAAACTTGATTTTTAATCCTCATTTGTATCACTTTCGACGGGAAATATTTTCGGCAATTTCACCATACTATCATATTTTCGCGATTTGGCATCTTTCGACTCAGTGCGAAACATCAATATAGCATAACCTAGCTACATGTTTGTGTTCTCTTTAAACGAAAAAAGTATATATTCTGTGTGCAAAATAAAAACGCTATGCATAGATGAATATCACTATATGATACAGTACAGGAAGCGTACAACCGTAACATACAATGATTCAGATAGTATGTTTAAAGATAGTCAAGTTTAAAGAGTGTAGGCCTACATAATTAGTGTGTTATACAAGATGAAGGAAGTTACTTTATGTTCATGGTTTCTGTGTTTTATGTTGTTGGCATCTTCTGTTGAAGGTAAGTGATTTAATTTGTATTTTAAAATTGATTATTTACATAACAGGTTTGCATTAAACTGCAATTATTCGACATAAATAAAAAAAAACTGAATTTTTTAATTTTATACATTGATGACATAGATTCCACGTATGTTTTTTTTCTTCTTTTTTCTTTTTCAAATCATAAATTTATTTAAATAAGGTAAATGAAATCAAAGATAAACAACACACTAAACAATAGTTGTGTTAAACGACTTAAAAACAAATGTTTTAATTTTTAATTATTTAGACCAAAATATTGATTAAAGTTTTTGTATTAATGAAGTGCATTACATGTACACGTGCCAACAGTCGTATAAATGGTAGTTTATTTCAAATATGCATTCAGGCCACCAGCTCATGCACATGAATACATAAATAGCATATTGTACAATATTGATTAAAGTTTTTGTATTAATGAAGTGCATTAATTACATGTACCCGTGCCAACAGTCGTATTTAATGGTAGTTTATTTCAAATATGCATTCAGGCTACCATCCCATGCACATGAATACATAAATAGCATATTGTACAAATCGTAATGTATACAAATCGTATTATAAAATTATCTTTCTAGGTCTTCAATGTCCATCATGCACATACCTGACATCAGACGCTGATATACCTGCCTTAGTTAGAACTGCAATAGATACTGTACTAAACTTATTCCAAGAGCCCAAATGTGCAGGAGAATTAAAAGGACCAGTACCTGAGGTAGAATTAGAATCTGTATAGTTTATCTTTTGTTTGTTCCACAAGATTTGATTGTTATTCAATATTTTCAAATCTACATGTACTTTATATTTGTAAATTCAAATGTTTTGTGAACGTATCAGCCGTCATTGAAATAAAGTCAGTGATTAGGTGCAACGAGAGCTTTAAACGACAGGATATTCTTGAAGCTTTTAGCAGAAATAGTATTACTAAATGAATGTAAGATGACCTGGTACCGGATCTAGTGACATTACATAACTGGTTTTACAATTATCTTCGTCAAACTCTTTCATATGGGATGAGACCAAATTTAACCAGAGGGAAATCATGGCCTGAGATCTATTTCTAGGAAGAGTCATAATTTAAAAGAAGGTCATAATGTCATTTTAGACAGGGTCATTTTTGGAGAGGTGCAGGACTGCCGACGAACATTTTTATATGCATTATAAAACATTTGTTGAACTCATGCAGGAGTTCAACAAATGTTTTAAAATACATGTAGTTATTACTTTGACACACACATTTTATATGTATTTTTTAAGTGTCGTCCAGTTTGATTTTTTGTTTGTTAATTTTGAATTTGACAATATTAAAATTTCTATTTTAACATTTTGGTAGCCAACAATTTAAGATGAGAGCACTTATTAGAAAATTGTAGGTCCCAATATATGTCGACTTGTCATGTAATGGAAGGTCAATATTCGTTAAATCCAGTCATATTTGTGGTAGTTCAAGTATCAGTCTATTGTTTAACAAGGAGCGGAAACAAACTATTACAAATTAGCGTAAATAATGACGTGTAAATTGACAATACCATCAGTGACTTTCTGCTTAATGTAATATTTATGCAGCCATGGAAAGTACTATCCAAATTATTTAGAACACTACTTGTATGTCTTTTGTACGCCAGAAGATTCTTCGGGGCGTACGTGTTAGGGTAGGGTGTTGTTTGTCCGTTTGTCCGTAGACAAATGATTTCCGTAGGATAACTTTATATTGTTTTAATATTTGGCATGTAAGTATGTTATATCAAAACACAGGTAAAGTTTAATTTTCGCTGAAGTGACCTTATTATTGAGAGTGTTATTCAAAAGTAGTCAAATCTGTTACTTTCGATGTTTGGATGCGAATTTTTCATTATTACTGAATAAATTGAAAATATTTTGGTGTCTATTTGGCGGCAATCGATATTTCAAGCGCCTTCGTTGTGAAAAGACTCTTATACAAATTGTGCGTTTTCAATGGCTTTACTCAAAATTAAAAACATCTACATATCTAGTGTTTACGGTGGTATTTGTAAATATATTACACAATTTAAAAAAATGCTAGAATCAAATATCATTTTGCTAGTGGAAAGATAAAACACTAGCAATTATAGCAAGTGGCCAAAAATTTCTATTCAACCATTGTTAGGTTATCTACATGTTTGCATTCGGGGTTGTATCATTGTTCCATTAGAAGATTATACAAATGCATGTATCATTTATATAACTGTGTAAATGAATAGTGTTCACAGTCAGAAGTTTTTCAATTTTAATTTGTTTTATATCCTTATATGGTAAATATGAATTTTGAGATGGGAAATTTGAAATACATGTAAATGTTTTGAACTATAGTTTTTATGAAGTCAAAATTAAATGAGATAAGTTTAATTGTCTTCCATTGCTAATGCGCATATTTTTTTTCTTTACATATCATTATTTGTGCAATAAATATAAAATAAAAGGGTGGCCTAGTTGTTAAGGTGTCTGTCTCTCAACCCGTTGATCATGGGTTCGAGCCCTAATTGGGTCATCACGACCATGTTTCTTCATACGACACAAGTACTGGTTGGTTCCAGGAAGCAGACTTGAAAGTGATTAATATAAGTTGCAAGAACCTGTTTCGCAATCGAGCTTAAATGAATATGTTTAAACAAAAGCATATAAATGGTATATTTTCCGTGATACCTTCTTTAGATTTTTAATCGGGCGTATATTGCCTCGCATCAACGGAAATTTGTTAAAGAAATCAAAGATCAAAAAGTTCAAAAAGTTCTCGGCCCGATATACTTCTAGCCACTACACTGACATTTACACACGATACGTCGATACCGATATCTTATTGAAGATTACTGACCGAGTTACACGCGGTTTTACACAGATTAAGTAACATAAAACACACTTTGATCAGTAGAGGGGTGTGTCATTTAGACCAAATGGAGAAAGTTGAAATCAGAGCCGTCATTAAGTACCTCTGTAAGAAAGGGATGTCCCCCAAGGAAATCCATGAAGACTTCATGGATACACTTGGGAAGGAGTCCCCTTCCTATAGCACTGTGAAAAAATGGGCTGCTGAATTTAAGAGGGGCAGGGAGAGCATTGGAGATGATGAGCGGCCTGGACGACCAAAAGATGCCACCAACAATGAAACTGCCGAAGCTGTGCACTATCTGGTCATGTGCGACAGAAGGCGAGACTTGCGAAGCATTGTACCTGGATCATAACTTTTTTAGTTTATGGTGTATTGTCTTCATACTTGGCCACAACAACCATTGGGACAAGACCTTTCAGTAGACCACACTAACCTTGATATTCATCCATAAATGACCTTGACCTTCAAGGTCAAAAGTCCAAATTTCGCTTGTTCTTGCTGTTATTGGCTGTAACATTGTTATTTTTGAATGGATTGTCTTCAAACTTGAACATAATAATCTTCAAGGATATCCCTTAAAAAATAACCAGACAGACCTTGACCTTCACTCATAAATGACCTTGACTTTGAAGGTCAAATTATTGAAATTTTCATTTTTTTGGCTATTATTGGCTGTAACTTTGTTATTTTTTGAATGGATTGTCTTCGAACTTGGACATAATAATCTTCAAGGATAGCCCTTGAAAATAACCAGACAGACCTTCAGACCTTGACCTTTACTCATAAATGACCTTGACTTTGAAGGTCAAATTATTAAAAATTTCATTTTTTTTTGGCTATAATTGGCTGTAAAGTAAGTCTCTGACTACCGGAAGTACATCGGGTCAAGAACTTTTTGATCAATCCTCCTAAAGCAATGATCATTTTAAATTGTTGATATCTAATCAAATAGTGTTTCCAATTACTGTACATACTGAGTAAAAACAAACTGTTGAAGGAGGAACACGAGCAGTCTCAGTGTTTGATGTTGGTGTTGATGTTAAAGGCGTGAGCGACATGTGTTCGTGAGACTATGTGATAGACACAATATTTAGTTTCATGGAAGTATTTGTGTTTTTGTAGATAAAGGAAGAGACTTGTGAGGAGACAAGTGGACAAGTAGCAAGATGTAGTTACTACAAAGGTTCTGTCACTATCACAATACCGCTACCTTTAGTTCCAGATATCAGTGAGTCCCTTGTAATTGTAAAACATTTTACATTACCTTAAAATGATATTGATAATTCTATATATTCTTTTATTGATGGTTCTAACAAGATTTGAACCGCTTGAGAGATATTTATGATGCTTATCTAAATTGAAAAATGTGCATAACCTTTATTTCAGACTGATGTGTTTGTGTTTTTGAAACCGCTTTTTTAAAATGATATGTGGTCTTATTTTAGAGGCACCGTTTTAAGATAAATGTCCAGGGTTTTTATTAGACCCCTACAGGTTTAACCGAAGGGGACTGAAGGTTTTCCCTCCTTCCGTCTGTCTGAGCTGACATTTGGATACTTATGTGGCTACAAGAACACTTGTACTTTTTTTTTATGTCATTCGTTCCGAAAGCTTTTATGTGGCTAATTTCTGGCTAATTTCCTGTACATGGTCAAAACGAACAGTTTCAGTTTTTATTGAACCAAGGCATATAATATGCAACTGGTTATAACAACAAACAAACAGAAAAATAACAGTCAAAAATCACTAATATCACAATATAAGAATACAATTATGACTAGCTAAATAAACAAAAAAGGAGATCATATTGTTCATTTCAAGTACTGAATTCAATACAACATGTATTTTATATTGTAACAAATGGGAATGGAGAATGAGTAGTATTTACAAAACCTGGATCCCGTGAATGCTCCAAAGGTACTAAAAATATTTCATGAAACTTAGAGTATGGATTGGTGGCAGATTATGCACATCTTTTTAGCACGACTATATTGGGTATATAAAGAGCTGGAGCTGTCCTACTCAGCGCGAGCGCGTCCAGATTTTTTATTAAAGTTTTTGCACAGTAAAATCTTATTTACTATTTCTTTCTTAGTTCTTAGATATCTACTCCAAAATTCAAATATATATTCCTTTTGATAAGCTTCACAACACTTAAAGCAACATTTCCAGAATTATCTTCCCTTGAACTTAACTAGAACTCCGCGAGTCGGATATGTCGCCTTGTGAACAGTATTGCTGTCACTTAGGCATTTTCTTCTTAAATATAGGTTATAAATAACAATTTACAATGTACATGTACCTTTTACTTTTGTGGCATTTGAACTGATTGTAACAATGTTAAATTAGGATTAATAAAACTGTCACATTATCAAAAATAAAAATACCATGGAAAAGTTTTAAGCACTGCACTTCAGGTCAATGAAAAAAGATTACATACCAAATTTGGAGTCAATCAAACTAATAGTGACCAAGTTATGCTCTGGACAAGCCTATATTAAGAAAGAAAATTAACAAAGGGCAAAAACCTAAAAAAAATCATGAAGTGCAGAGTACAAGTTCTTGTGCACTGCACTTCTTCTCAATGAGATCTATCATCCTACATAGTTCTTATAGTTAAGGAGAAATGGCCCGGACAAAAATAAAGTATGAAAATTAACAAAGGGCAATAACTCAAATATAAAGAAGTGCAGAGTAACGATTGTTGTGCACTGCACTTCGGGTCATTAAAAGAAGCATGCATACCAGGTTTGAAGTCAATCAGACTTATACATGTAGTGACTGATTTATGCTCCGGACAAACTTAAGGGGACGCCGATAAAGACAATGACGCCGATGCCGCCAACAAAAGTAAGACATGTATGTCGCCTTTTTCAAGGCGACACAAAAATGGGATTCTTTACTCTAAATTCTTTATTTCTTAAACTTGAAATATAATTATGTTCCTTATCATCACCCACATCATATGTGGCAAGGTTCATAACATAGAAAAAAGGATTCATTAATTGGCATTTCTTCTATCTCTTTACTGAAATAAATTGCACACATGTATGCGAGTACAGAAAGATGTTATTGATAATATCTAAGATATTTTATTTCCTCCGATTTTTGCGACGGACGCGCCCTCAGGCGCGTTCAGAGCTAAGTCATCTACACATGGGATTTCGTTGGCTACAATCGCGCAATGTGTCCTAAACCGATTTACAGCCCAAGAAATAGTACATGAATTTGATCCTTCAAAACTCCCATACTTTGTCTGGATATCTTAATGTCTTCCATATTTAGCCTTTTAAATTTCAAATTAAGTTATCCAAGTTAAAATATGAACGTATATTATTTGTAAAACGTTGTAGTCCCGTAGTATTATTGCACAATATGCAAATTACTGCTGAAACGATTTACCGCTGTCGAAAAAGTAGGACAGCAAATTATACTACAATAAAGGTGTAACCTCTGAGTTCCAAGACATTATTAGTAGGAAATAAATATTTCTACATTATACAAAACATTATTATTAACAAATCAAAAGTTTTTCGTGACTCTAGGATAACCCGCGCATTAATAAAAGAAGAACTATTTTCGTGACTCATACCGCGGGTTTAGCTGAATATTCAGCAGTTATTAATATATTAGATACAGTACAACGGTTAGTATAAATATCTATTTTTGAAAATGCATGTAAGAAGAGAGTTTTTCAACACTTTACCGCAATGTAGTATTTCATGGTAAGGAAGTTATAATATCAGTTCTACTTCCGATTCTTGTGGTTTGTTTACATATTTTTCTAGGTCATGATATGAGTTAACCTTCGCTATTCTAAAAATAGATTCTGCTTCACCTGTTCTGATTTTTGGACAGGCGATTAGGAAGTACACATTATACATGTAATTAATAAACCAGCGGATTACATGCAATACTTTTAGAAATTCTATACAATTGTAAGAAGCAAACAAGTTGATAATGGAATTTAGTGTGAAATTGAAAAGGACAACTAAACACTGTAGTGCTTAAGTGACATTTAAATTAAAATAAAAACGATGTGCTCTGGCCTCTACCAGTTTACCTTGTAAATAAAAAAATCTAAAAAATACACTATTAATTGCTGATGATTTTAACCAAATTTTTTTTAATGAGACATATCCAAGAGAAATGAAAATACAAATGACTTATATTTCATTGTCTATATGCCCACTATGATATAACACGAAGCAATTCTAAATAGCATTCTCAAATGTATAATGTATTATGTTTGAAGTTTATTTGCCTGGATTTATTCTAGAAATATTTCGTTGACAGTTTTTTTTCTATTACATATCATTTCTCAGAATAAATCGATAAGGACACTAATATACAAGTTTGACCAGAGTTTTAGGCATAAATTTAATTCTGTATTTAAGTGCTTGAAAGTAGAAAATCTGAATTATATCAGTTTCGGACGCAAAATATATTGCTCTACAAATCTCGAACTTGTATGGAACAAATTTTCTCTGTTATATATTTTGTGTTTTGTTTTTGTTTTGTTTTTTTTCCTAAAAGAAGCCTTAATGTCTCTCCGGTTGCATGTCCGTCGCATTCAGTGCTGCAGCACTTTGATTTAATTAAGTTCCTTCATTAACATCATTTATTGATAATATACTATTCATACTTTGGTTTATTTGTAGATGTACCTTTACAGATGTATCAGAGAGGTTGTTACCATTCCAAACCTGCAAACGTCCCTTCTAACGGCTGTCATAACAGGGACAATATAAACGAAGATAAAACTGTCATTAAACAAATTCTTGATAAAGCTTCGTCAACATTTGAGAGTTATGATGTGGCTAAGTTTACAGGGGAAATGTGTCTATGTACAGACACATACTGCAGGGATACGTCCGCCGCCAATCAACGTGCACCATTCAATATCTTACTGTTGTTGGCATGTGTACTTATTTATCTTGTTTTTGCAATATAATAACAACACGTGATTGATCACTGTTGATGACTTTTTCACTGTATTATATTATCTTATAAATGTGTAAAAATAACCATTCTATGTATAATGATATAAATCACACAAAATATTTATAACAAAGATTTTGTAAGTCACAGCGCGAAGGATTTTCAAATTCTGAGTTGATGCTCCAATGTAAATGTCTGTTATTTGTTTAGGACAATGGAGTGTTTATCTGAATCAGCAGAAATTTTACAAATTTTGACGCCTGAAGTGCCTCATTTATGCTTCTAGTTCGTATACCTGCATATATACACACCCACTACTGTGATTAGTATGTCTTCTTTCTTTGTTATCTCTTTTGTTGTGGGGATAATTTAATTCAGGATAATGGTTCAAGCATTTTCCCCAACAATAAAGATCTAGTGGTTAATTTCTTATTTGGTCACATTATAGTATTCCATTGTTTTCGTATTGCAGTATATTGACGGAAATTAACTTGAAACTATTTTAAAAAAACTTTATTTTCTTTCATTTATATTATGACTTGTACAAAGTTTAAATCTATTGTCCGGAATGCATGAGTAATTGTCTAGCATGAATGACTGTTGCATGTATATTCTTGTAAACATGTTCTTTAATCATACTTTTATAAACTATACAGTTTTATCATGCTGTAGATAACCTATTTCACATGAATATCTTTTGTTATTGTGATATTACAAACCACGGCTTTCATTATAATTAAAGCCGGGTACAAACATATCTCAAATAAACATGGTTTGTTACATAATTTGCACCCCAATAAATGTATAATTTTAGCAGTGTTAAATCGTCTTATGATACTCTAAATAGATGATTTTGAATGCGTTTTTGGATCATTGAATTAGTAAGTTCCACATATTTTCTTATATCTATTATAAATATTAAATCACGTTTTATGCACTGTATACGAAGATTCTTTTGTCAGAATCGAATGCATTATTCAGGATCTTTCAAATTTGACTACAAGATCCTGAATTAATGCGTTAATGCAGTAATGTTCAAGTGAATGACTTAAATTCACCATCACATCCATAAACTATTCTAAATCTTATGGTTATAATTTAAATTACACCTGATTGTTAATAAAGTTGTTGAATACTGATAAAATCTATTCTTTTGTTATTGATTTTTGCCCACGCAGAATGTGCATGCGCGAAATGCTACATCCGTTTCTATGGAAATATCGTATTGTAAAAAGGTCTGTATGTCTCTGTTTCCAGAAAGCAACTAATTGGATTTTTTTTTACCAGATCAAGCACTAAATGATATTAATAAATGACCCTTTAATCTAAGGGGTGTTTTCTTCTTGAGATTGTTTAACAATCATTTATTCATACAATCTTGGATCCGTATCCCATGTAAAATCTATGTAATGTGTCGAGTTTATACATACATCGAACACTTTGTCAACATTCCTGTAATGTTTTATCACTTAATGATTCCATTGGCATTCTGGTGTATTTCTTAAACTTTCTGGAACACAATAGCGCTTAAACAATTGCATAACGTCAACTTGTTCTATATTAGCGAAATTTGAACTCACAACACCGACGGTAAAATTATTCGTTGTATGAAAATCTAGAAATGTTTAGTAATAATATAAATTTGTTGTGCATAGTGAAAATCTATGTAGTTGCTGGAACAAAATTATTGCTCTACTATATTATAGACTGTTGATTTTACAGGTAAATAACATGAACAGTATTTAAGTCTGATTCATAAACCATTAAAGTTAGTCTTATTGTAAACATAACATAGCCATCATGAAAACAGTAACAAAAAGATCATTTCCTATTGCAAATGACACATTTGTTCAAGCTTCACATATAGTGCTGTCACTCCCTGCAATTTTAAACACAGGAAGGCATATTATTACCTTTGGAAGTTAGATGGATTATCTTCCCAAGAACTCAATATCCCTTGTCAATGAGTAATAGATGGAATAGTCAAATGACACACAGTAAATGCTTTTAAATTCGTTGTATTTAGCTATATGCAAATTTTATAAGTTTATAGCTCACACAGCCATTGTGACCTGCTAGCAGAAACTTTGACAAGCTCTCGCTATCAGGAGGTATTATTTTATCTAAATATATCAACAACAAGAAACGTCGCAATGCGACGAAAACCAGGTTTTCAACGACCAAGTTTTGATGTGACAGCAATCAATAGGTCAAATTGCACTGAAGTTATTGAGAAGAAGCTGAAAATTCTATTGTAAGCAAATGACCTTGACTTTGCTCCAAGATATCTAAGTGGCAGTCCAAAGCTGCCACACAACAAGTTTGGTGTCAAAAGGTCAAAGCAAACTCAAAGTTATTATGTGAAAACTGAATACATGTACATTAACCTTGATAGCAATTAAAAGCTGCCCCTTGATATAAGCTACCCATACATCAAGTTTGGTGTCAATAGGCCAAAGCAAACTCAAGTTATTGAGCGGAAACTGAAATTCTTTTCTTAGTAACATAGTAACAGTGACCTTGTTAACAGATACCTGGGTAGCAATCCCAAGCTGCCTCACGAATATAAGCTATCTATACACTAGGTTTGGTGTCAATAGATTAAAGCACACTCAAGTTATTTAGCGGAAACTGAATTTCTATTTTTAGTAACAGTGGCCTTGACCACAGATACCTAGGTAGCGATCCAAAATAAGCTACCCATACACCAAGTTTGGTGTCAATAGGCCAATGCAAACTCAAGTTATTGAGCGGAAACTGAATTTCTATTTTCAGTGACCTTGATCACAGACACCTGAGTAGCAATCCCAAGCTGCCTCTTGATATAAGGTACCTACACACAAAGTTTGGTGTCAATAGGGCAAAGTAAAATTAAGTTATTGAGCGGAAATTGCATTCGTATTTTTAGTAACAGTGACCTTGATTACAGGCATGTTGGTAGCAATACCTAGCTGCCTCTTGATACAAGCTATCCATAAACCAAGTTTGGTGTCAATAGGCCAAAGCAACCGAAAGTTATTGAGCGGAAACTGAATTTCTATTTTTAGTAACAGTGACCTTGACCACAGACACCTAAGCTGCCTCTTGATATAAGCTACCCATACACCAAGTTTGGTGGCAATAGGCCAAAGCAACTAAAGTTATTGAGCAGACACTAAAGGTTGATGCCACCCAACGACTCCGGCATTACAATATCCCGGTTTTTCATTGAAAACCTGGTTAAGGAAACTAGGAATTAGACAGGTCAGTCAAATAGTAAGTCATTATCAATTACAGCAAATAAAACAAGTTTCAGACTTCCTCGGATTCACAAGGTAAGAAACAAATGATGAAGGTAATAAAAACAATAATGAATTTATTTAGAAGAGTTTAAGAGACATTGTATAAAAGTTTAATTATGTGTAAACTGAGTCTTCCACTATTGAACTTTTCTAGTACTTATCATAAACAAGAGCACCGCTAGGCGGAGCATTATATGCCCGAAAGTATTTTTTTTTTTAGTAAGGATGACCTTAACCGTTGACCTTTTGACCCCAAAATCAATAAGGGTCTTCTACCCAATATGGACAATCATCCTATGAAGTTTGAACATTGTGGGCCAAATGGAACTTAACATATGCTCCGGCAACTCTTTTCAGTATCAAGGTAATAGTGACCTTCACCTTTGACCTTTTGACCCCAAAATCAACAGGGGTCTTCTACCCAATATGGACAATCATCCTATGAAGTTTGAACATTGTGGGTCAAATGGAACTTAAGTTATGCGTGGAATCATATTTTTCAGTATCAATGTAATAGTGACCTTCACCTTTGACCTTGTGACCCCAAAATCAATAGGAATCTTCTACCCAATATGGACAATCATCCTATGAAGTTTGAACAGTGTGGGTCGAATGGAACTTAAGTTATGCTCTGGAAACTGTTTTCAGTTATAAGGTAATAGTGACCTTGACCTTTGACCTTTTGACCCCAAAATCAATAGGTGTCTTCTACCAAATATGGACAATCATCCTATGTAGTTTGATCATTGTGGGACAATTGGAACTTAAGTTATGCTCCGGAAACTGTTTTTAGTATCAAGGTCATAGTGACCTTGACCTTTGACCTGTGACCCCAAAATCAATAGGGTCTTCTTCCCAATATGGACAATCATCCTATGAAGTTTGAACATTGTGGGTCAATTGGAACTTAAGTTATGCTCTGGAAACTGTTTTCAGTTATAAGGTAATAGTGACCTTGACCTTTGACCTTTTGACCCCAAAATCAATAGGGGTCTTCTACCCAATATGGACAATCATCCTATGAAGTTTGAACATTGTGGGCCAATTAGAACTTAAGTTATGCTCCGGAAACTGTTTTCAGTATCAAGGTCATAGTGACCTTGACCTTTGACTTTGTGACCCCAAAATCAATAGGGGTCTTCTTCCCAATATGGACAATCATCCTATGAAGTTTGAATATTGTGGGCCAAATGGAACTTAAGTTATGCTCCGGAAACTGATTTCAGTTTTAAAGTAATAGTGACCTTGACATTTGACCTTTTGACTCCAAAACAATAGGGGTCTTCTACCCAATATAAATAATCATCCTATGAAGTTTGAGCATTGTGGGCCAAATGGAACTTAAGTTATGCTCCGGAAACTGTTTTCAGTATCAAGGTAACAGTGACCTTGACCTTTGACCTTGTGACCCCAAAATCAATAGGGGTCTTCTGCCCAATATGGACAATCATCCTATGAAGTTTGAACATTGTGGGTCGAATGGAACTTAAGTTATGCTCCGGAAACTGTTTTCAGTTTTAAGGTAATAGTGACCTTGACCTTTGACCTTTTGACCCCAAAATCAATAGGGGTCTTCTACCCAATATGGACAATCATCCTATGAAGTTTTGACATTGTGGGCCAAATGGAACTTAAGTTATGCTCCGGAAACCAAATTGCTAACGGACGGACGGACGGACGGACGTACGGACGGACAGACAGACAGACGGACGCCAGGGGGTATAACATAATATGCCCTTTCGGGCATATAAAAAGACTATCGTTTTACTTGAAATAATTCATTGTAAAATATAGTCAATAAAAATAAAAACAAACACAAACAATCTTACTTTAAACAGTTTTGCTATTTATAATCAAGTTTATCTTGTTATTATATATTTTCTGCAAGTACGTAAAGTATTCATACACAATTATCATTAACTATTTATATATCATGTAACATTTTATAAAATATTTCAAAGACAGATATGGTGATACATTCTCGCACATTTTTACAAGTTATACTGAAAGGTCCTTAAAAACCCCTAAGAAGTTCCAACCTCTGTCAAAATGTATCTTAAATTTAACATAATTATGTAACATTTGTCTTAAAGTTAGACTACTAAACATGTCGATCATAAAGTAACATCTTTTTTTCCCCAAGAATTTACACATTTCACTTATATACCATTAGTCAGTTACATCTAGCCTGGATATAGTTATTTATAGAATACCATTATAAAGAGATCTAAAGAAACATTAACTTATATTTGGAAATTATTTTCATGTATCATGAAACAATATTAGCACTATAGCTTATACAGTTATCATCAACAATTAACAACAATTTACCTTATAATATATTACATATTGGCAGTAGTTATGTACATGAAATCTTATACACAGGAAGATTTAGTTTTTATTTTGTTATAAGTGACAGCTGATATTTATACAAGTACAACCATATTAGGCAAATTAAAATTTGCAGTACTTTAACCTACAAGGACAATATACACCAGAGAGAAAATAATTCTATAATCATCAACACATGCACACACCCCAGCACATACAGCACTTAACACAGATACATGTATAAAGATTGTGATTATTTCCATAACTTTGTACCACTACTTCCTCGTAATCTGTAAATATAAAATTAAAACATTAGTTATTATTTTAATCATTAATCTACACCTCTCACATGCTTTACATTATTTCTTTATAAAACCACAAATTTTAATTACATGTAAATTAAAGTCCATGATTAAACAGATAGAGCCACCATGTACATATGACTAGTAAGCCATTAATTATGATGTGATATTCAACATTTGAAAGAGGAAATTATTAAAAGAATAGCCTGTAATAGAAAAAAAACACATTTAAAATAACTGCGGAAAAATAAAACAGCAACTGTTCATTGATTTCATTGAAGCACTGGAAAAACACAAATGTAAGAATGCTGATTGATTTAGAAATTATGTTGAATAAGTGGTCAATCAATTACTGAGAAATGCATGTATGCTAATAACTGGTTAGCAATCCAGGGAAGTGGTTTGTTTAGGTGGATCAACCTTAAGATGTGACTAACCATACATTTAAATCAGCATAAAAAACAACCAAATTTGTTTAAAAGTAATACCATTATTTCTATCTCATAAATTTTAAAGTTAAACATGAGGGTTTATCTTAGGAGAAATTATCCCTAATCCAAGATAATTGAGTTATCTTTTTGTTCTAGAGATGTGTGTTTTATATTCTAAAACTTTATCCATCTGTGGAAACTAACATCTACCACTTGACTTTCAATGGTGCTTGTGCTTAACATAGAACATTGCAAATCTTAGGCACTTACATTGCTTCAAGGGCCTTTTGCATACTAAGTCTAGAGGGAAAATCTTGAGTTTTTTATTCCTTTATGTAAAGAAATTGACATCACTTGGCTTTCCATTTGTGATGAATATGTTTATATAGAGGATATTTGTTTGTTTCAGTGTAAGATCGAAAAATATTTCACCGAGTGAACACCAGATGCAATATTTTCCACGAGTGGCGTAGCCACGAGTGAAAATATAATAGCTGGGGTTCACGAGTGAAATATTATTTGATCTTACATGTAAAACAAACAAATTTTCTGTTTATTTCATGATTTTTTAACGATTTTTAAACCATTTTACTGATTTTTGCAGCGTAACGTCATGCTCTTATCTTCATGACGTCATCAAATAATGACGTCACAATGTTGAAGCAAAATATAATTCCATGATTATTTTTAGATTTTAGATGTTTTTCAGCACAACGTTCGTAAATATTTACGAACTACAGTAATCAAGTACATTTTTTATTATGATTGACTACATTTCCTCTGAAAAAACATTCATTAATGATAAATATTTTATTTTTACGCCAAATATAGTTCGGCTACTGTGAAATTATATTTGGTAATCATTACTGTGAAATTATCAGAATATAATTAACCATTATAATTCAGTAATCTACTGCAAAACATGTAATAAATGAGGATAATGGCAATGCTTTTAAATTGTTTTTACTTGATACATGCATGCCTGTGAAAACTGACAGCCCATGCCTGTTGAAGGATTTTTTGTGCTGTATATAAATTAGGAAAAAGGCATCGATTGGCTAATTGCTTGGTTGATTTAAATTTACTATCAGCTCTTAACTTTTGATGGGCTCTTTTCTTGTTCATCTAAAGACAGTTACACCTACCCCTTGGCTTTGGAGGGTTTTTTGCTGGGTTTATCAGAAGAAACAGATTCTGTCACCATACTTTCCTCATCAGCATGTGTACTCTTTAATGTTTTCTTTATATTTGTCACCTGAAATCATAAATACAAATGTATATCAATAGCTATGTACACAATGGAAAAAAGCGAACAAATTTCATATATGTTCATATGTATTAGTATATCTGCTGGAGCATCAAACTTCTGCCAGTCTGGTTTCTTATACCAGGTACATTTGAAATATCACAAAGGAAGAGCTAAAATCTAATAATCATTAATCACAATTTTTTATGAAATACGTAAATCACTATCTTTTAAGATGAGGGCAGTTGCAACATGAGTTATGGGATGTTATGTTATATATAATACAATGTTTTACAAACTAAAATCAATAAAATCTGGGAAGACGTGTTCCCACCTAAAATTTAACAAAATCATTATCTGATAAGATGATGGCACTTGTGAAACAAGCTACATAAAGTTAGATATAATACAATGTTATAACCATAATAACCCTTTCAATAAATGACAGAGTCACAGTTATTATCATTTAACTTATTTTACCTCTTGTTCCATTTTCTGTTTCTGCCTCATGTTGTTTTCTTTGTTCTGATTTGCCTTTGTTATTTGTGTTTCTATTCCTTGTAAAACTGCTTCACAGCCAGAACACCTTTATATCATAAATAATAAAACACATGTAAAAGTGCTTTACAGCCAGAACACCTTCATACCGTAAACAATAAAACACATGTAAAACTGCTTCACAGCCAGAACACCTTCATATTATAAGCAATAAATCACATGTAGAACTGCTTCACAGCCAGAACACCTTCATAACATAAGCAACAAGAGCCGGTTGAACCGGGTGATGCTCCCCGAATAGGTTTTGGACACAGGAAGGTATACTTCTTGTTGTGTCAGAGTTATGTCACAGACAAAGTTCAAAGTGTAAAAACAACCCAAATATTGTGCACGACACATTGTCGTAATATGGTGATCATTTTTGTGAAATAGTTCTAAAATCCGACTTCAAATAACGTAGTTATGCGCCGGACATAATTTTGCTGCAAGGTCATGCTGTGACCTTGACCTTCAAGGTAGCGACCCAAATGTTGCATGCTACACGTCAATTCAATATGGTGATCATCTCTGTGAAATAATTGATAAATCCGACTTCCAGTAATGAAGTTATGAGCCGGACATGATTTTGCTGTAAGGTCATGCCGTGACCTTGACCTTCAAGGTATCGACACAAATGTTGCGCGCGACACAATGTCTCATTGTGGTGATCATTTCTGTGGAAAAGTTGTAAAATCCGACTTCAAATAATGAAGTTATGTGCCGGACACAATTTGGTGCAAGGACATGCTGTGACCTTGACCTTCAAGGTAGCGACCCAAATGTTGCGCGCGACATGCCATTTTAATATGGTGATCATTTCTGTGAAATAGTTTAACAAGAGCCCGGTTTGAGCCGGGTGATGCTCCCCGAATAGGTTTTGGACACAGGAAAGTCCACCTCTTGTAGTTTCAGAGTTATGTCCGTGGAAAAAGTTCAAAGTGCAATAATTCCAAAATTAGGCAAGGAAGAGTTACTGTTCTTTGCACTGCACTTCTAATCAATGTGATCTATCAACCTACAAAGTTTCTTGTTGATATCTCTTATGGTTTCTGAGTTATGTCCCGGACAACTTCAAAAAGTAAAAATAAACAAAGGGCAATAACTCCAGAATTAGGCAATGCAGAGTTATGATTCTTGTGCACGCACATCTACCCATTGAGATATATCTACCTACAAAGTTTTTATGTTGATATCTCTAATAGTTTTACAGCTATGTCCTGGACAAGATTTTTCTAAAAGGGGAAATAATTCAACAAGAGGGCCATGATGGCCCTGAGGTCGCTCACCTGTATATAGGCCCCCGGAGCGGGGCCAGTTTAAACCCCAGGGCTTTTATTTGAGCAAACTTGGAAGACACCCATTAGAAGATGTTTCATGATGTTAAGTTTTCACTACACACATATAATGAACTAGAACTCCCCGAGTCGGATGTGTCGCCTTGTGAACAATGTAGTTTAGGAGAAATGGCCAGGACAAAAATGAAATATGAAAATAACAAAGGGCAATAACTAAAAAAATAATAAGTGCAGAGCAGCAGTTTCTGTGCACTGCATTTCTTATCAATAAGATCTATCATTCTATGATGTTTCAAGTCCATAGCTTTCATACTTGAGGAGAAATGACCAGGACAAAAATAAAGTATGAAAATCAACAAAGGGCAATAACTCAAAAAATAAGAAATGCAGAATATCAGTTCTTATGCACTGCACTTTTTCTTAATGAGATCTATCATCCTATGAAGTTTCAAGTCCATAACTTTTATACTTTCGGAGAAATGGCCTGGACAAAAATTAAGTATGAAAATTAACAAAGGGCCATAACTCAAAAATTAAGAAATGCAGAGTACCGATTCTTGTGCACTGCACTTATTCTTAATGAGATCTATCATCCTATGAAGTTTCAAGTCCATAGCTTTTATACTTAAGGAGAAATGGCCCGGACAAAATTAAAGTATGAAAATAAACTAGAACTCCGCGAGTCGGATGTGTCGCCTTGTGAACAATGTAGTTTAGGAGAAATGGCCAGGACAAAAATGAAATATGAAAATAAACAAAGGGCCATAACTCAAAAAATAAGAAATGCAGAGTACCTGTTCTTGTGCACTGCATTTCTTCTTAATGAGACCTATCATCCTATGAAGTTTCAAGTCCATGGCTTTTATACATTAGGAGAAATGGCCCGGACAAAAATAAAGTATGAAAATTAACAAAGGGCAATAACTCAAAAAATAAGTATTGCAGAGTACCGTTCCTTGTGCACTGCACTTTGGGTTATTGAAAGAAGCATGCATACCAAGTTTGAAGTCAATCAGGCTTAAAGTGACTGAGTTATGCTCCGGACAAGCTTTAGGGGACGCCGACAACGACGCCGCCGACACAGACGCCGCCGACAAAAGTAACCCCTACATGTCACCTTTTCAAGGCGACACAACAAAGGGCAATAACTCAAAAAATAACAAATGCAGAGTACCTGTTCTTGTGCACTGCACTTCTTCTTAATGAGACCTATCATCCTATGAAGTTTAAAGTCCATGGCTTTTATACATTAGGAGAAATGGCCCGGACAAAAATAAAGTATGAAAATTAACAAAGGGCAATAACTCAAAAATTAGGAAGTGCAGAGTATCGGTTCTTGTGCACTGCACTTCTTCTTAATGAGATCTATCATCCTATGAAGTTTCAAGTCCATAGCTTTTTTAGTTGAAGAGAAATGGCCCGGACAAAATTAAAGTATAAAAATTAACAAAGGGCAATAACTCAAAAAACAAGATTGCATTTGAGAAAAATGCTATGCCACCGCATTAATACAACACTAAATAGTAGTGTAGGAACAGATTTTCTTTGTTTCTATACAATTTTGAAGATTGTCATAATGCATAGATCCCTGACCTATCTAATTCTTATTATCAGATTAGTTAAATCTGTTGTTAACTCAATAAAAGATCAGAGTAGGAATATATCAATGCACTTGAGTCTAGTGAATTTGGTGTTGAAGGTCATATTTCACACAGCCTAAATTTCATGACTACATCAAAGGACAACATAGTAAGACACTTTGTCAAAATCTAGGTCAGCTGAAATCAAAGTTCACTTAACATCTAAATCTGTACACATGGTTCAAATTTCATAGCTGTACATCAAAGGACAAGAAAGTAGGTCACATCATCAAAATCTAGTTCACCTGATATAAAAGTTCAATTTTACAACTAAAACTGTGCACATGGTCAAAATTTCATAGCTGTACATCAAAGGACAAGAAAGTAGGTCACTGTCCCCTTGGGCAAGGCAAAATTTTGGACCCAAGGGTTTAATTCAAAACAATCTTGATACAGGTCCACCAAACAACATTTCAAGTCAAATATCTAAGCTGTAGCTTTCTCCTATTCAGAAAAGATTTGTTTTATTTTCTGTTTTTACTACGTGAACATAATGAGAATCACTGCCCCTGGGCAGGGCCAATTTTAACACTAGGGGCATAATTAAAACAACTTTAGTAGAGAACCCATAGAATATATTATAGAGCAAACATCAAAGCTCTATGCCTTGTACCTTCAGACAAAAATATTTCTTTTTTTTTTTTACTATATGTACATAGTGAAAATCAATGACTCCTGGGGTGGGGCCAATTTTGACCCCAGGGCTATAATGTGTACAATCTTGCTACAGGTTCACTACATAATGTTTCATGCAAAATATCTTAACTCTAGCTTTGTAAATTTAGAGAAGATGATTTTTTAAGTTTTTTACTATATATACATATAAGGAAAACCTATGGCCCATGGGGCGGGTCTTTTTGACACAATCTGAGGCAAAATTTGAACAACTTTGGTAGAGTACCTATAGATGATATCATTTAACAAATATTCAAGCTCTAAGCCTTGTACCTTCAGACAATAAGATTTTTTTATTTTTTACTATATGTATATATTGAAAATCAATGACCCCGGGGCAGGGGCAATTTTGACCCCAGGGCTATAATTTGAACAATCTTGCTAGAAGTTCACTTCACAATGTTTCATGCAAAATATCTAACCTCTAGCATTTGCTAGAAGAAAATTATTTTACTATAAAGTTTTTACTATATACATATAAGGAAAACCAATGACCCCCGGGGCAGGGCCGATTTTGACCCCAGGGCTATAATTTGAACAATCTGAGTAGAGGTCTACCAGACAATGCCTTATGCAAAATATCTAAGCTCACAACCTTTTGGGTCTTTACAAGGAGGTATTTTAAGTTTTTACTATATGTACATATAGTGAAAATCAATGACCCCGGGGCTTGGCCGATTTTTGACCCCAGGGCTATAAATTTGAACAATCTTGGTAAGGGTCTATCAGACAATGCCTTATGCAAAAATATCTAAGCTCTAGGCCTTTTGGGTCTTTACAAGAAGTTTTTTTAAGTTTTTACTACATGTACATATAGTGAAAATCAATGACCCCGGGGCGGGGCCTATTTTGACCCAGGGTTAAAATTTGATTAATCTTGGTAGACCTCTACCAGACAATGCCTTATGCAAAATATCTAAGCTCTAGGCCTTTTGGGTCTTTACAAGAAGGTATTTTAAGTTTTTACTATATGTACATATAGTGAAAATCAATGACCCCCGGGGCGGGGCCGATTTTGACCCCAGGGTTATAATTTGAACAATCTCGGTAGAGGTCTACCAGACAATGCCTTATGCAAAATATCTAAGCTCTAGGCCTTTTGGGTCTTTACAAGAAGATTTTTTAAATTTATTCTTATAATTCCTTTTGGTTGCCATGGCAACCAGATTTCTGCATGGAATGAAATTCTTTGAACAACTTTGGAAGCCCTTCACCCAAGGATCAATCCTGCCAAGTTTGGTTGAAATTGGACAAGTGGTTTTTCACAAGAAGATTTTTTAAGTTCACTATATAATCTATATAACACACACACACACACACACACAAACAAACACACACACACAGGTGAATCGCTATATGCCACCGCATCGCAGATGCTGCGGTGGCATAATAAGAACTGCAGAGTACCGGTCCTTGTGCACTGCACTTCGGGTTATTGA